GTTCGTTCGAATTTCTTTTTGTCAACTTTAAACACACGTATCTCAGCTCAGAACAGTGCTTTCCTTAAAATTAAGAATTGTAAGAGTATACTCATTCTTGCCCATCAAACGTAAATTTGGCCGTCGTTTAAGAAACCTGAAGGCAAAAATTCGCAACTCCCACGCATTTTGGATCATTTCTCGCAAAGAAAAACAGATAGTCGGTTGGCCGAATCCAGCAAAAATAGTGGGAAAAGATAGCCCAACTTATTCATTTACAGAGTTAAATGCGAGAATCGTTTTCTTTTATATTGCACGGTTGGCCAAAGTGAACTTAACCCAACTACGCGATAGCTCTCTCTGCTGGTGCCAATCCCGATATTCGCTCAAATCTATCCTCATCTTTGAGGCTTTAGCTTTCGCTAATAAACTTCTTGAGCGTTCATACATGGCGTTGACAGTATTGAAAAGCAATGCAAATTAATATCGAAACTCTTTCTCGTGCTTTCTGTCCCAACCAGATCTAACTAGAAAAATGCTCAACGTACTTGTTAGAGGTAACTGTCGTATGATTTGGATAAACCTATGTATAATTACAATAACGCGTAAAATTTAAAAAGATACGAAACTTTCTAGCCAAACAGTGAGTTTTACGACAACAATAAGAAGCACAACTACCAAAATTCGAACGAACATTTTTCCAGCTTGATCAGTTCTTTAGTAGGGAGTAGAAGGAGGGTTAAAAATTTGTGAATGTGCACTGCTTTTGCTTTGTTGTCCAATTTAATGTACTCTAACCAACCTGTGCTCAAAGAGAAGCAAGATTTATCGAACAATGCCAATTAATCACTTCTATGTATTACAATTTGCAATTACTGTTATTTGTCTCTAGATAGATTTCATTTATGTCTGTACAACGTGTCTACAATCCGGTGTTGTCTATTTGTGTTTTTGCTCATATGTTCTAGTCAGATTCTACAATACTGGTCCATGTATTATTCTGAACTAACTTCAGCGTTTTCATTTGCTCAACTGAATAAAGGCTATATTAACGCTTCGCTTTGCTACTATCTATATTTAACAACAAACTATGGCACCTCAAAAAAATGTACAATTTTACTTCAAAAAATGTACAATTGGACCAAAATTTCGAAAACGAGTTCAGATCGATAAGCTGGCGCGAAGACAACTGTTAATTTAGCGCATCTTATTTTTTTCGCACCAAAAAAATTCTTCAATCATGCACAAGTATTGGTCAAGGAGAGTAGTGAACAGCGTAGAGGTACGGTGATTATTTGCGCTACTGAATACCCTTTTCTTTAACGTTCGCACTTTAAGAGCTGGAGCCCACGCGTAGCAACCTGCTAAGTAAAAATCAGTTATCAAAAATTATAGCGCGCTCCAACTGCAAATTGTGCGGATGAGCAGAAGGACAACATGCTATGATTTGTAGAAACATAAATAACGATTCAATAGACTTTCCCGGTCCGACTCAAAATTTATTCACTAGTTCTTCCCTGAGCGCCAGCCGTTCAAAACGTAGACAAAGCGAATTGAAATCACGTTTACGGTCAAATACGATGGATATTTAGCATAGAATGTGGAACATTGAAGACATATTTTCTAAGAGAACTATA